CAAGAATATAAAATATAATAGAATATATATGTATAATAAAATAAAAGAATAAATATTTTGTAAGATGTGAAATAAAAAATGTTTGTCATAAACGATAAGAAAGGTGTTTATACGTTTTTCTCTAATAAAATAAGTCTAATAAAATAATCTAAGATGAAAGAGATTATTATAGAACTCATATATTATTCTTAGGAACGACAGATTCGCATGAAAGCTTTGTAATTACGATGCTGCGTACTCTCCAGAACTAGTTCCATCTGTCAAAATATGTCTGGTGCCGTCTCGTTGAATTTAATTTTCAAAAGCGAATGTTCTATTCCATGGAATTAGTTCATATAATTTAAATTGTGATAAAATGAAAGCTAAAATTTATGTCACAAAAGTTGAAAATATAATCTCACAAAAAATACGTACCATGCAATTTATAAAAGTTATGTGATTTATAGATCTATTAGAAACTTATGTAAAGAATGATTCATCGCATTACTGAAATTCCATGGCTCGTTTTAGGGGGGATCATGAAATTTCACATTACAAACATTCTATCGCGGTTTGAAAAACAGACAATTACAGTAAAACCGCCGAGTCATAGTGCGAAAATACTTTCGCAGACGCGGATTAAAATAAGAACGACGACGGGAATAAGAGTAAGAAATGGCGACGCTTCTTAAGTGAGCACGATAGAGCAACCTCGGTATATTATTCCAGCGGACACGTGAAATGAAAAATGAGTCCTTATAAATGTAGGTCTTGTGAAGAGATGGAGCCGGAAAGCTTCACGTTGTGTTACCGAAGACGGGGAAGTCGACTGCTAAGCTCGAGTGCGACGAGGTACAACGCCGCCCGCACCACCATCCGTTTCATTAATAATTACAGCTTGTGTACCCGCGAAAATTACTCCCTTTATCCACCCTTGACGAGTACCCACCCTCTTGCGTGTTCCGCCAACTCCTCTCTGTTTTCTTCCTCGATTCATCTCTTCTCTATCCTCCGTCGTACTAGTCGTACTATACGCTCATGCTACGACGTATCTCGTCTTCATTCAGTATTGTGTGTGTTTGCGGAACTTCTAGCATTTTGTACACCACTGTATGCCGTGTGAAATTATTATTTATATAATATATGTGTGGAAATGAAAATCTCTCGCTAACAAAATTATGAAATATATTCTAATATTATATATTGCTGATAGCTTTGCTTAAGAATGTAGTGAAGCTAACATTTTGAAATAAAAAATATAATAATAGCAAAAATACTGAAACACTTTGTGATTTTTGCAAACTGTTAAAAGATGACAACAAATAATTTATAAACAGATTATTATTAAAAGTATCCTCGATGTTGTATTTATAAGTATTATAAATATTTATTATACAATAAATATATATAAGAGAGAATATTTATAATAAGAATATTTATATTATTAAACAGAATACTTACGACGTTATTTTTATATTACTTTTAAGACATTGCTTTCAAAGTTACACTGCTTTTAATGAGAAACTTGGAAACATATTACAGCCGTATTAATGGATCCAGGTTTACGTGTTGTGCGTTTATCGCATTGCGAATTCAGAACAGCGCCAAGAGACGTTCGTCTTGTCGTCCGCTCGTTGGAGACAGATACGAAACTGCTTCAGTCGGGTAATATCCGTCGCCTCTGAAGAAAGGTATCTCCGTCGTGCCGTAAGCCGCGATATACGAAATCGTACAGCAGCAGGTATGAATTAAGGAATTAATACAATAAAGTTCAAGGCGAACGTCTGCACAGCTTTCTGAATTAATCGCACGGATTTTCCCTTATAATAAGATTAATTAATTTATTCTAGACCATACTCAAATTCATATTTTACTTTTATTTGATTGTAATATTTTTCAACGTATAGAATTCAACGTATATAAAAAATAAATCACATGTATATATAACAAACAACTTGATAAAAACTTGAATGTATCTAATTACGTTTTTTTTACTAAAATTATATTTTACAAGTTAAAATATTTTAGGCCTAAAAATAAAAATGCCAATCTGAACTGACTCTAGATGGACAGGTATATATGAAAGTTATATCTAAATATAAAGAAAAATGTATATGTTTCAATTCTTTGTTTTGGAATCTCAATTGTATGAGTCGAGTTAATCATAAAATTACATTACAGTAAAAAATTCTATAAATCACTATCAAATAGAATAAGTGCATAGTTAAATAAAATAATGACCTTTTCATTATTTTATTTCTAAACTAATAACTAACTAACTACTATTTAACTATGTATCTCACTCTATTTGACTGTAAAATTTATAGAATTTTTTTTACTAAGGTATAATTTTATAGTTAACTCGATAATTACTGTTTAACAATTATATTGAAGAGGATTCAAAACAAAGAATCGAAACGGTTATCTCTCTTTTATTCATTTATATCTTTAGACGATAAATTTTATTATATTTAATTTATGTATACAGAAGATCTAACACTAGCTCATCTTGGCATTTTTATATGTATTTGATATATTTTATAATTTCACAGCTTTTACAAATTTTATTTATTCGATTCGAATATAAATCATAATTCTTGCAAAGTATGAATACTCGGATTCATCGACTTTGATATATATATATATATATATACATATATAGACGATATCTAAGTATGTATATTGTATGTATGCTATGCAAGATACATTATATATGTAACATGTATACGTTCGATCATTATAATGAAAAGATAGTCGAGTCGCGATTCAGAAATGACTTTTGCTTAATGAGATTTCAGGACGTTAAAAGTTCTTTATCCCTATATATGTATCTTTCCTTCCTTTCATGAACTAGTGCGGCGAATGATTTCCGACGGATACTCGGGTACTCGTTACGTTGCAGAAATCAATCGGAAACGTCAAGACGTTAATTCGATTCCGTCGGTTACGGCGCGGCCAGTTAGGATCGAATGGAACGAGCCATCATTTCCTCCTTCACCATCCGTTATTGATAAAAAATAAAATCGTTACGTATTTAATACTATATTTACGAGAATAAATGTTGTCATCATTTATAACTAACCTACAGGATTTTTTAAAACTTCTTCTAAAAAGAATAAAATCAGTCTGGAAAATGAGAAATGGGAACAAAATTTTTTAAATTGCAAATGTTTCTATCTAAACCACATATATGTATGTCTCAGATTATAATATATTATTAAAGTATTACAAAATTTACATAATGGCAAAAACATATGGTAATATATATATTAAATTTCACACACAAATTATTAATATATGCATTATTATTTAAAATAAGTAATATATATATAT